CTCTCTCTCTCCTACACATACTCGCCAGCACGGAGATTCTTCCGCGCCTCGACGTAGCAGAGGTAATAAGCCGAGGCAAGTAACCCGGTAAGCAACGCAGCCGCCGCGCCAATCCCGAATATCACCTGGCGCGCGACTTTACACTCGTGGATCGATGTGCCCGTCACTCTTTTACTCTGGAAAGTTACGCGCGCGGTCCCGGTGAGGATAAAGAGCTCCGCGACGAGAAACGCGATCCTGGCAGTAAAATCCACACGGTAAAAACGGGCATGATCACAGTAAAAACGCAAGAACACCGGAGAACCACGAAGAACATTCTTACCATGAGAAGATGAAGAGAATGACTGCGCAGATGTTAGCGGCCTTTCGCTTGAGAGGGCAAGGGCAGCACATACATCTCGTCACCAGGGTCACAAAGAGCTGCCCGGCGGCGAGGAAACTCGCAGCGGCGATGCCAAGATTCGTGGCCTGACCAGCGCGATACTCGCAAGTGAAAACATCGCCCTGTGGGCTATCTCTTTGAGCAGTGGCCTATCAGCACAGAGACAATAGCTTAGAACTTCTAGATTGAGTCAATTCGAGAGCTATGGAACTAGATTGGACGGATTGAATCTCTGTGAAAGACTTACTCGGTGTATCCGAAAGGTCGCCGCTACCGCGAGGGCGAATGCGATTGCATCGAGGATGAGGACTATCCAGACGAGCTGCGAATGCCGCCGCGAGGATTTCATGCCGGGGGGGTACTAGAGAGAAAGCTTTGGATGGTTTTCGACGAGGAGAGGGAGAGACAGAGGAAACGATGCGAAGGAATATTACATGAGAAAAAAGAATTGGATTGCTTCGAGGTGTTTAAAGCGCTGTCGGCCACGCGTCCCTGGCTGGCGATTCGCATCGAGAAAAGTGACATGTAAGGGATTCCTTTTCCTTGTCATTTAATTTCAAAGCTAGTCAGCGTGGGGCAGCGTTGACGGAATTTTTGAAATGGATTGCATGATCAAACGGTTTTGTAGTTAAAAATACAAGTTAATGACAACTATATACTATGGAATTAACAGTCAGTGTGTCAATAATGATTTGATTAAAATCTGATTATCAAAAGGCACTCCTATTCATTTCTCATTAGGCATTGAAATTTTGGTATGAGAAAGGATATTAAATTACTTTTATATATATATATATATATATATATATATATATATATATATATATATATATATTCTTAACATTAAGTTTTATAGCATAACTTTTACAATAAAGCTAAATGGGTTAGCTGAATAAAGTTTGAAGTTAAATAAATTATAAAAATTTAATTAGTTTATCTTTTTTCACTATTTGTTGTGTTAAATTTGACTAAAAATAAGTTCTAACCTCAAGAACACATTATAAATCATTGCATTAAAAACATGATTATTTATGAGTATAAAATTATAACAATTTTTATTAATTTAAAAAGTAAAATTTGGTACAATTCTAGTCTAAAACTTGAAACAAAGAACTTTTAAAATAAATTTGTAAATGGTTTATTAGTTATTGATAAAATTTTATATAAAATAAAAGAAACAAAAATATAAATTTTACTTTAGGATTTACAAAGTTTAAAGTGAGAAATACTAAATTTACAAAAATATTAAAGGATTTAATATAATTTTATATTTCTAATTTATTTAAAAAATAAAAATTCTCTAATACATCTGTTTTCAACTGTTTTAAGATAATTAAGTATCATTTTAATATAAATTTTGTAGTTTGATAATAATTACTATACTAAATTAACTTGAAAATAGTTAATTATTACTATTCATACTTTTTAACTGTATATTATAATTATATTAGACTTAACATAAATACAGGATGAAAGTATGCATTAAATTATTAAATAAAACAATATATTATGTTTATTACAAATTAGTTATAAACATTCAATATTATTATAAATATTTGTTGCCCACCAAACTTTATTTGGATATTTTGCTTCATATGACATACAAGCTTACTGATTACATTGCAAACTAAACATTAGATGGAAAAAGATATTGAAAAGATGCAACCATATGAGATTTTTTAGCATTCCTTGGTTCAACTTATCCTTCTTAAGTTTTTCATTGGTAAATTATAATTATTTTGCAAAGTAGGAGATGTTAATTTTATGCAATTTATACAATATTTATTATTATACCATACTATATTTCTATAGTTTTTATATGAAATAATATTACCATTAATTTTAACTCTTAATATACATATACCATAATGGTTTTCAGTATTATTTGATCTCCATATTAATTTGTTTTTAGAATATATGGAAATTTTACAATTATTTTCTAAATAATTTGACCAATTTGATATTTTCTGGATGTGAAAGTACATTCATCAAAACATGTTTGATATATTTCATCTTTAAATAAATTAAATATGTATTCAAATCTAAATCTTAGTATTCTAGGTTGAATTCTATTATTTGATGTTTGTCTTGTTGAACATATAGAAGGTGTACCCTTCAACATCTAAATTGCACAATTATAATTGCTCTACCAAAATTTATCTCAATTGTATTTTCATAATTTATTTGATATTCATTAGGATTAAATAAATATATTTGGCTTATAAGCTCTTCAAATCCTTCACTAATAATGTTTTATTTCATATTGATTAAACGTATTATTCCTTCCTTATTCAGGAATTGCACTTTTTGGTGCAATACATATATATAGATAAGAAATTATAAATCATACAAACAATAATGAAATTAACTTTAAGCATTTGTATTATCATCATGGTTTTATTTATTTTCTTTATATTTTACTACTGGAATTTTAACTGAAATATTACTTATGAAAATTAGTTATAATAAATTTCATTTACAATTGATAAATGTACTATAGATACTTTAAAAATATCTTGTTTTAATATTTCTATTTAATGAAAATATAATAATTCCAGGAATAGTATCAATAAGAAATTTTTCATGTTTTTTTTTGTGCTTTGTTTTTATCCTGCTAGTTAATTTATACTTTTCCTTCCATTAGTTATTCTTTTGGCCTTTTAACTTTTCATACACTAAAAAGCATATGTTATTCTAGGTATTCATAATCTTAAATGCAAAGGTTAAAATATTTAAGACACTGAAGCAAAAAAATCCTTTATGACAAGAACATAACCTTTGTTAGATGTGTTGGAGGTTGGCCACAATGGCGCCTCTGAAACATTTTCAAGCCACTCAGGTGCATTTAGCTCCATTCAATCGTCAAGCCTCACTAGATTGATCCCAGCATCGTTACAATTATCTTTTAAATTGAGAAACACTTAGCGTTTTGGATATATATTGGAGAAAGAATTTCTTACTGGCCAGGCTCCAGCAAACCTGACGAAGCTTCTCCTGGCAATGGGGACCCCCGGATGAACTCCAGCCACTTGTGGGCCTTGGCAGCCTCCAGTCCCCAGTAAAGCCCCAGCCCCACCACAATGACGCTCGCGCTCACTACTACCACCCGCAGCGACGCAAAGCTCATGACAAACACTAGCAACGCTGCCGGCGGCACACACACGAGCACGCACCCCAGTCTATCCCCAACCGGGGCCTTGTACGGCCTGGGTATATCCGGCCGCCGTACACGCAGCGCTACAAACGCCGCCAGCTCCAGCAGCATCCCCACGCTGTAGAGGAAGTTGAGCAGCTCGATGATCTCCGCGAAGCTCATCCAGGAGAGCATCACAATCCCCAGCGCGGAGAACGCGATCCCCCAGACGGGTGTCCCATGGCGCGATCTCCTCGCCAGGAACTTGGGCAGCATCCCCATCTCCGCCATTCCCAGGAGCTGGAAGGAATCGCTGCTCATCTCCGCCTCGAACAGCCCCATGTTGGAGAGCGCCGCCGCGAGCTGGATCCAGATCCGGAGCCACGATCCGCCGATCGCGAACGCGATCGTGGAGAAGTATCCGTCGACCCATCGCGATTGATCCAGCTCCAGCGCTCCCGTTCCCGCCAGGATTGGGACGAGATACGACGCCACCACCACGAAGATCGAGATGTAGAGAGCTCTTGGAAAGGTCTTGCTTGGATCTTCCACCTCGCCGGCTAGAGTGCTGGATTTGTCCCAGAAGTTGAGGTTCCAGAAGAGATTGTTGAGGTAGTTCTTCCAGTTGACACGCCCCAAGTGGGCCGACGTCCATCGCCGGGGCTCCAGTTTGGGCAGCGCAAGTAGTCCCATGACCGCAAACGGGGCGAGCGAGAAGATGGCCAGGCAAACGGCGGTAAACCCCACTACGGCTAATCCTCTGTAGTTAAGAAATGTTAGTCCCAAAGTGATGCCAAAGATGGAGACGCCCCTGGTGAGCCCAGAGGCCAAAGTGGGGAATGTTGGGCTCAAGTAGTCCAAGAAGAGAACCGGGTAGAGTGCGTTGTCTATGACCCCGCTAATCCACTTCCAAAACCCGCCCTGGAATCCCCAGAAGGAGCCGAAAGCCTCGCGAATCCATAGCACGTAGCCGCCGTTTGCCGGGAATGCGGTGGAGAGCTCCGCGGTGACGAGCGCTTCCGGGACGCTCCAGAAGAATGGGAGGATTAGAAAGCCCAGGATCGCGAGAAGCGGCCCTCCCGCTCCCACGGAATCCTCTACTCCAAATGGGCCTCCGGAGACGCTGTAGAAGACGAGGGCAATGAGAGGGACGAGCGAGAGCTTGGGCGGCGGCGAGGATGGATCGCTCGCGGAGAGCTTGAATTTGTCCCAGAATCCCATCTTTGGATCTCGCTTCCAAGAAGCTAGGAGCTGGGATTGGATCCAAATGCCATGGATTGGCTGCGACTGGAGGAGAATTGGCCGGATCTGGGGGAAGACTCACTCACCAAATTGATTGGAGCATCGCCCAAAAGTCCGCGCACGAGGAACACGCTAAAGCTATCATCCCCTGTTCTAGGGATTTTATCATATGAACAGGGGAGTTTAGCTTAAACATAGTTTGTTAGTTTAAAATCAGGAGTTTAGGGTTTAGTCTAACGACAGAGGGGAAAGGGGATTAGGGTTCTTGGCTATCTTGTGGCTATGGCGTTTGTGATGATGACGCTGGGGCTCTCTGGCGCCTCGAATCCGCCTCCGTCGATCGCCGATCCAGGTAACAGAGCAGCCCCCTCAGCTGCCGGATCGGCCCCGGCGCGCGTGGCGTTCGGTGCAGCGAGCAGCAGTGGCGCGGCGTTTCCATCGGCGGCCAACGCGAATGTGATGTGGTCTGGGAAGCCCGCGAATGCGGCAATCATCGTGAACGAGAACGAGGGGCCGGATTCGATCGTGAGGAGGTTCCGAAGGGAGGTGATGAGTGCGGGGATAATCGCGGAATGTAGGAGGAGGAGGTATCACGAGACACCGCAGGAGAAGAGGAAGAGGAAGCAGCAGGCCCTTGCAAGGCGGAGGAAGATGAGGTAAGGAGAAGATCTTCTCAATGACTTGCGATTTCTTTCTTTGTTCTGCTTCTCTTTGTTTTGCTTGTGAGCTGATGGTGATCGATATGAGCTTTGGATCTGTGCCATCTTCTAAGATTTCTCTTTCTTTGTGAATGCAGTAGAAGAGCCTCAGGAGGTGGAGGGTTCCAAAGCGCCACCAGCGGCGGCGGTGGTGGTGGCGGATTCAAGCCCCCGGTCGATCCCTTCGCTCCCAAGCCAGCGAAATCAAAAGAGGAGGACGATCGTGAATTTTGGGGGGAGGATGATGACGAGCTCATCTTCCAATAGATGATCGCGAGCGACGAACTCTCCTTGTACATTTAGTGTGTAGCTTGGCATTGGATGAACTTTTAATTCCAGCGTGTGAGCTCTGACTTTTTGTGCAATCAAGTCTAAGATCGTATATATTAGAAAAGAGTTAAAAAAAATGTTGATCTCTTTTTCGCTGCTAATATAGAATTGCATTCATTATTAGATTTTTGTACTGCCTTATTTTCCTTATATTTTTTAATATTTTTGGATGATTCTCAAATAACCACTTCTAAAACAAAATTATTTTTTTAAAAAAAATGTAAGTAATTATTTATTTTATTTTGCCTTGGACTTTAATCATAGATTTGGATATAATTAATTTTGGATTTGAGTTTGTTTCGATTGATTCCATTTTATCTGTCAGTCCAACTTGTTCATCTATCATGTGACAATCACTCTTTCATTGTTTTGATATATTTATTCCAGAGTGCCTTTTGTTGCTTTCTTTTGGGCATACAAACATACACTGGGTGTATGTATAGTTATATATTAGTGTAACACATATAAAAATAATGCTATAATAGATTTTAATTTTTATTATTGTTTTGGTGATTATCAAATAATTTATTGCATGTTGCAGGCAGCAACGTTTTTTTTGCTTAATAGCAGTATTATTCTTATTTATTAATCTAATTGATGAAATGGAAGTTTATAATTATAAACATGTTTATAATTTATAAACACAAGATTAATCTTGATGGTAGAATAAACTAGAATATACTATAAAGTGTTTAGGAAAGTTTATAAATTATAAATGCAAGATTAATCTAAATGAATAACAACTATTAGATGGTAGAATATCAAAAAATATTTATGCATATTCTAGGTGTATCCACTATCACCCCACTCTAGATTTACTTAAACAACCCAAAAATTTATATTAATGCATATGAAGAAGGAATAAAGAAGGAAGTTATATTAAAGGAGGCTCTAAAAAAATTCCTACTTAGTTATTGTGAGGTTCAACTATATAGTATAATGCCGTATACTAATTTTAACAACTATACACTAATATTAGCGTAGTGGGATTTTGATAGTTTCAATCCAAAGCACTTACTTCTATATATAAACTAAAGTTTTTATATGCATATTTCTATCTTTCATTTTATATTTTATACACTCACATTGGTGGAAGTGAGGGGCAACTTTGATTGTTCCTAAAGAGTGATTGAATTTAAGGTTTTGGTTTAAATCTAACATTTTTATTGTTTAGATCTCACTTTTTTTATATTTTTTAATTTCTTCCCTTTTACTTTTTTTTTCGTTAATCTTTATACCAAAAGAGTGTAAATTCCTGAATTTGGATTTTCTGGGATGTCATTTAGCCCAGTATTATTCAAACCTAAGAACACTTTTGTTTATGGATCGTCTCTTGAATCGTTCTCTTTAGTTAATTATAATTTATCACATATTAATGGATCATCTTTTGAGTCATTCTTTTTTATTGATTATAATTCACTACACTTCCTTACAAGTTCACACCCTCATGGGGCTCTTTTGCAAGTTCACACCCTTGAATGGAAGTTGAGAGCCACAACTCTCCTGAAAGCTCTACTCTCTTATAAGTTCATACCCTCGTGAAAGGAAGCTAAGAACTACAACTCTCCTAAGAGCGGGTATGCTATATCTCCTAGCGGAGCTGGGGTCTCTGCCACCGTTTTTGCCACCATGTAACGATCTTCACCGTTCTTTTGGAGCATCACAGATCTCATGCTTGACTTTTGTTAAATATCAATTTTAACATATGGTGTGATTTTCCTAAATTTAGACTTTACAAGACAAATGTCCCAAGACTCTTAATTGATTGGAAAAAAAAATGCACTATTATTCATGGCCTTTCCCTTTATATTTAAACCCTTATGAATCATATATTTAATCATTCTCTTTAGTTGCTTACAAAGAATAACATCTTCCTCATTTGAATCTGGAATAACAATTAATGCAATTGTTTAATGTTATGTATAAACAATTAAACTCAGTTAATGGTGATATTCACAACGCGTGGTATAACTCCTCCTACTCTTGCTATCAATCCTCGTGTCTGGCTGCATGGGAATTATAGGGATGATATATAACATTCACTTTATAGTAATTACCACATCATTCTTGAGATGATGCTTGGTGTTTACATGAGTTCTCTATATGTCTCCACATTATAGTGGTATAATGGTTTAACTATAGCCACTCATGTGGATTGGAACATTTTCTTGGATGTTTTCAAACGTGTATTTGGATTATATTAACAATTATGGTGATGCCTTCTAACAATTACATTGTTTTTGTTAAGAGCTATTTGAGTTAGTGATGCAATTTGGCATTCATTTTCAAAGCCTTTTGCTTCCTATAAAGCCAAATTTATTAAAGTATATCAAGTTGGGAATGTTATAGCTAGCAATTTGTGAAGATCTTGTAGGATTTGTGATGCATTTGCTCTAGCCACTTTTGATGATGCTCTTTGCTTAGCACAACATTATAAGACATTGTCTCTTCCATTTCTCGTTGCACGTTCTTTAACTCCACTTCTTATAAAAGATAGTTCTATTCCAATGAAGGCTGATATTGTTAATGCCTAAATTGGGTGAAGATGTGGTCATGGCCACAATGTCCATTGTTGGGTATGTGATGAAATTGGTCACACTTATAGGTGTTGTTGGCATTTTCAAGATTAGCGACCTTTATTTCCTAGGTGGAGACCATGGTGTCAACAACATTCTATTAGTGTTACTACAGTGGAAAGTTTGGACATCGATATGCTCTCCAGAAACGAAGAGTCATGCAAGTAGCAAAAGGTCTTTATACAAATAAGTTAGTGACCTCTTAATTTTTCTTTCGGGAGTATCATCAAGGGGTTTATTTTATACCAGTTCATCCAGTGTTTACTTTCCAAACTCATTTTTATAACAAGAGGTTTCTTATTATTCTCTCCATGTTGGTTGATACAAGCTCAAGTTTATCTTCTATTGCTTGGCCTATTTTCACATATTGCCATCTATATTTGCATCATGTATAGAGTTAGTTTTCATTCTTTATGTCAATGGTTTGTACCCTTTTCCTCATATTATTGATCTCTTGGATTATCTAGAGAGAAGTTGTTAATTCACCAAGTTAAATATTTTTTCTGGGTACTGGCAAGTGATGATAAATGAGGAAGATATTCTTAAAATTACTTTTTATATGCCATTTGGTTTGTACGCTTTCTTGGTGGTGTCATTTGGTTTAAACAATGCTCTAACCACTTTCTAGTGGATGATGGACGAGGTTTTTTGCAATATGCCATAAGTGACTATTGATTTCATTAATGATGTTTTGATCCACTCGAAAAGGACGTGGGATTAACACATCCGTAATATTCATAAGATGTTAGATCGGTTACGGGAAGTTTATTTAAAGTTGAAGTAATCAAAGTGCATATTTAGATCTAAAGACACAACTTATCTTAGGTATCGTATTTCTCATGAAGGTTTATAAATTGATCTTAACAAATTTGTGGTTGTTCTAAAATTTCTTACTCCGAAGTGTGTGAATGATGTGTAATGCTTCTTGGGCAAAGTGCAATATCTCAATTGTTTTGTCGATCATCTTTTGATCGCACTACACTGTTGTAAACATTATTGAAGTTGTCAATGTCACCTTTCATTTAGCATGTTAACTATAAGTGGGCATTTACGAATCTTAAAGAACTATTAATGAATCCTTCAATTTTGGCATATCTTAATTACACTTGACTTTTCATTTTGCATATGAATACTTAAAATTTGATGCAAAAGAGCTTGAGTGTGCTTGGTCATCACCATCTCATTGCATATATCATCCATACATTACAATTGGTAAAGGTGAACTATTCCATGATAAAGAATGAGTGTTTAGCAATCGTTTGGAGTTTTGAGAAACTTCATACATATCTACATGGTTCATAAACATTACTTAAAAGTGATCATGTTATAGTTACTTCATTATTAAAGCAGAAGAACTTAGTTGGTCATATTGCTCGATAGGCTTTGAAACTTAAGACATATAATTTTGATGTTCATCATTTAGGGAATTCTATGCCTGATATTGATGCCTTTTTTTATGCTCCTTTTCCTTCTTCACTCTTTTCTCATATTTTTGATGAATTTGTTATTCTAGCATTTGTGAATTTTTTGGACGAAGATGTGAAACACAAATCCCTAAGCCCTAAAGTAGAGCCAAAAGGGGGCCACGTGGTAGTGGCCAAAACAAAAACCAAACAAGCATAACATATTTGGACTAATTTAGACAATTGAGAGTGGGAGTGGAACTCCTAATGAAGTGTTTGAGGAACAAGCACGAAGCAAGCAATAAATGAGTCTCTACAAAAGGGACACAAGAGGACCAATATATGACATGTGAAAGTGTCGAGATGAAGTCCAAGAAGGATCTTGAGATGGACTTGAGACGAAGCCCGAGATGGAGCTCGAGAAGGAGTCCAAAATGGACCTGAGATGGAATCTAATATACACCTGAGATGGAGTCCAAGATGGAGTTTGATATGGATCTGAGATGGACTCAAGATAGAGTCCAAGATGGAGTTTAAGATGGATCCGAGATAAAGTCTGAAATGGACTTGACATGGTGCCCAAGATGGACCCGAGATAGAGTCTAAGATGGAGTCTGAGGTTGAGTCTAAGATGGACTTGAGATAGAGTCCGAGACCGAGAGCAAGCCCGAGGCCGAGACCAAGATTGAGATCAAGACCAAGACTAAGATTGAGACCGAGACGAAGACCAAGATTGAGACTGAGACCGAGACCAAGACCAGGACTGAGTCTGAGTCCGAGTCCAAGTCCGAGTCCGAGTTCGAGTCTGAATCCAAGGGTGAAAGCCCAAAGCGTTCATCTCCCACACCCTAAGAGGTTTGGTAAGCTCCAAAAGTATAGTAGAAGGAAGACTCTAGTGAAGCCATTTTGCCCAGAAAAGGCCAATGTGACCAAGGAAGGCTATACCCATGTGTTGGGTGATGATATATCCATTGAGGAGTCTAAGGCTAAAGTGAATATGAACAAACAAGTGGGGCAACTTGGTGAAATGTTCAAGAGTTGACTCTAGTTCCCCTAAGAGATCGAATGGTCGATACTCCC